TCAGACTATCTCTCCTTCAACTTAATTCAGTTCAATATATTGTCAGCGTTTAGTTTAACTTAACACTACTGATTAACTTATTAAACTAATTTATCAACCACTTGTTTATGTTTCGTTTTTTATATTTTATGTCACGAAATGATCATAGTTAAATAATTATTGAAAGCCAGGAAGCATTAGACAGTTGTTTTATCCTCATGTAAAACTCCTCCACTGTCTATACCCACTATCCGACTAGGAACTAAACTGGCAACCTTCAGGCCCTGCGACGAGCTTTCAACCACTGAGCTTGCATCTAATGGTTGGGATTCTTAACTTTGATCAACTTGAGATATTGTAAAATTGCTTAGCATTGTCTTTGATGGATAGATGTCTTAGAGTGAAACACTGTTAGCCATGGGTTCTTACTAGAAATGTGTAAATTATTTCTCAAAATTAGTGACTAGTGAGGAAATTATCATTATTAGAGCAAGGGTTTGTGTTGCGCAAACTATTAAGTTAATCAATCTAAATTTGTCTACAATGACTTTGAATTATTATTTTCTATGTAATCTTTTTGTTTTCTAGTTATCACCACGTGATACAAGTAATTTCGATAGTGAATTCACAAAAGTTACTCCGGAATTATCCCCAACTGATAAATTATTTGTTATGAATTTGACTCAAACAGAGTTTAGTGGATTCTCCTTTGTTAATCCGGAATTTATTGTTGAAGTATAAGATTTTGATTCTATCTTAGTTTCTTGTTTGTTTATTTGTTTGCTCCCTTTCTTGTATTACTCTTCGATCTTCGTTGTGAATAATTACTCAGTTTCAGCATGCATCTATGCTCTTTTCTATTCATCTATTTATTTATCCATTGTTCCTTACTGTTTTCTCCCGTTCTTTAAATGCATTTATTAATGGCTTTTTTGTAGAAGAGTTACTTCTGTTGTATACAGTGAGTTTTTTATTATGTGAATTCGTAGTGTGTGTATGATGTCTGTATGTGTGATTGTTACTTTGAGTTTATGAAATAAAAAATGCAAACAATGAAACCAAAACAATGGTAAATATATATGAATGTTGTCACTAGCTACCTTATTGACATAGTTGCCATGTTACATGGTATTATCAAGTGTTTTTGTGTTGCATTTTTGGTTTGTTCATATACTTGTCAACTTCAACTATAGCAGATTTATGACTAACCGAATACTTTTCAATTATATATACATATATAGATAGATTCATATGGGTACTGTATTAGTATAAGATCATATTCTTAGTATTGGATGAATATGTTGGCGTTAATTATTTCACTATTGTTGTTCGTTTTCAATATATTACTTGTAGATTTGTTAAAGTCTTATTTTGAATTAAGAATCTCTTTATTACTTTTCTTTTTCTTACTCTGTATTTGCTCATTTTTAATTTAATGTGATATAATTCTTGTTGGAACTATGATTATTATAATCGATTTACTTTGTACTTGTGCTTATGTAAAATACATTAGGGATACATTAGTTTCCTTTAAATAGTCTTTTTCATTTTTTTTCTGGATTAATGTAAAATTCCTACCTTTTGTTACTGACTCGGATGTGCAATAAAATTGATGGTATATATGAATGAGAAAAAAAACATTCCAATTATGAAGTACTTTTACTACGATCCATATGTAGTAGTATTTGCAATGTCAGTAGTATAAGTAGTAGTAGAGTAGTACTGATAACAACTGAACTATTGTATCTGCTTGTTAACCTGATCATCAACAATTTACTTTAATTCTTTGTGTATTACACTAATTTAAGGTATAATTTATTTTGAATTTTTTTTCATCCATTTTCTTGATGATGTTTAATTTTAGCTAAATTTAGCTGTCCCCGTATGTTGTTGTTGTTGTTGTCTGTTCATTTCGTTTTCATAACATCTGCATCGGTCTTCTTCTTTTCTTCCTCCTCCTCGTCTCTTCCTGTATCTGTTTATTTTTCTTTAGTTTTGTTTCTTATATCATGTGCGTGAAATATGAAACGTTGAACACTTCAATAAGATTCTCTGTTGTTTGTTGTTATTGTTCGAACGAAAGGTGATTTAAGGAAAATAAATGACAAATGAAATCAATCACAACAAAGACATGAAAGTTTTGTTTGTTTGTAAGGCAGCTGTTCGCCTCGATCTCCCTCGTTCTTTGCATGTGTACAAACAAGTCAGCGATTAAACACGTTTATCACATAACAAGCAGTTGTTTTCATGTTTATAAACAACCCTGTTTCATTTTTTGTCATTTACATATTCTAATTTGTTTAGCGAAATAATCATTTTATTCCAATTTATTCATTTGTGAATCATTGTGTTTATTCATAAAATTATTGTTAGAAGAAATAAAACGTTTTTTCTAGAAAAATTAATTTCTTTTTACTATAATCATTGTTTAATTGATTTTAATTCATATATAATAGTAAATGTTGATTCTTATACACTAGTCGGTTATTCAGCAGCTAATTTCTACAATATTAACTTGTCTGCTATTGAAATAAAGGCTTTAGATATTCCTCAATTTGACAAATAAAAATCAGTATAGGTCATCATTACTAATCATTTTAATTATCTCGTTATTGGAGTTTGTGTTTTATAACACAAGATAGTACGTTCGAGTCTCAATCTAAATATCGGTACAAGAATACAGGTACATCTAGATGTCGAGTCCCAAATCGGAAGAAATGTTCTTCTTGAATTTTGTTGTTTGTCATAATCTATCAGTAGTTCTAAATTTTTGGAAAGCTGTTATTAATATTGATTTTTCATTGTTTTGTGCAGAGTTATCTAATACATAATGAAGTTATGCGAAATAAACATTTCGAAAGAACTGACGTTGATATATTTAAGTTTTTGTTATTTTGAGGTGTACTTAGAGTTTAAATAATTCTCCTAATTAGGATTGATTTTATTTATACAAAGTGTTCTTTCGGCATGTCATTTTTTAAGAATAATGCAAAATGACTGGTTAGAATATTAATAAATATATGCAAAAGTGTTAGCACTAAATTGTAGGCTTGGACCTCAGCTACTTTGTGGAGTAGCACTGATTTTCATGCAAACGTGTGTTTTAAAAGTCAAGTTTATCAAACTTCCTCTGAATAAATGAGTTTTCATATATATCCTTCTACTGTACCATTATGATGGGAAGCATAAAAGCTTGTTTTCAGATGCAACGAAACATTTATTTGATGCCGATAATGATGAAAATTTTCTCTTTTTTCCTAAATAATAAGTTTCAAATTGAAAATATCCACTATAAATTGAATTTCTGCAGAGCACACATTTTTTGGTTTAAGATTCAATAGTAATAAATAGTTTCGATCATTTGTTGAACACCGTTAAATTTCATGAGACTATTCATTCACCTGTGTTAAGTTATGTACACAAGATACTGTTCAAATATTCTGTTTGCGAATGGTCAGTGTTAAGCTGAACCATCAACTCCTAACCGAAAACGTCCTATGTTTTATTCCTAAGGATAACTATTTTTGTCTTACAATAGTTTAGTGATATATTCATTTTATAAATTATTGGAACGTGAAAATAAGTACTTTGAGTAGTGTTTTCATGTTGCTTTTTTAAAAAATAAACCAGCCAGTTGGGTTGATATTCGTGTTGTTATTATATCTACAGTTGTGATATTGCCAGTAGTGACTGAAAGCAAAAGAGTTATTATGGTCTGTAAATAAATGATCCGACACTGATTGAGTGTTTGCCATTCACTATACTGTTGCAACACGGTAAAGATTGTATGGAAACAAAGATGGATAGCCTTCATCAACTAGAATAGATGAATGATTATAAGATATTTAGTTACCGTATGAGATCAAATATTACAATTCTGCTCTGGTTTTACGGAAATTTAACATTTATATTGACCTTTGTGTGACTATTTTGCATTTGTAATATATTACACCAAATGTGAATGTAAGATGAAACATGTATGGACAATAATCTCTTTCACAACTTTCGTACGTAATTCTTAACGTTGATAGCAAACTGAATACTGTTTCCACTGATATCAGATAATAAGTGACTCGCATAATTTTATTGTACATACGGCATAGTGGATATATGTGTTTTTGAACAAAATTTGTGATCAAACCTTATTTAGTATGTACATTTGTTAGCATTTGCTTGATTTCAGTCAAATTATGCTGAGATTTAATCTAGTGATCCATATTTTTTGTTTTGATCAATTTGGGGTACGCTATGATCATCTTTTATTGTTTCTTTTAAAATGAATAATTATCTATACAACTTAATTGAATCCACAAACCATATTCTTCATTTGGAACTCCTGAAATAAATCAAAATTTCAAATTTTAAACAGGAAATGTAGCAGCTGGAAGATTACCAAAAAGCTGTTTCGTCACAGACTGGATTATTTTTAACAGTACGCACCCACAGCCTCATACAAGATCAAATCTTTGATCTTCAGGTTATTTAGCAAGTACAACATTTAGTATTTCGGAGAGTTTTTTATTTATAAATAACTAGTCAGTTCAATCTTTCATTATTGTTACTGAAAAAAATATTCAAAATAAAGATATAAAAAATTATTATAATACCACAGTATATGATTTCCCACCTTAAAGATACTACTTTTGCCAAATATTGTTTATCAGAATGGGTTTTGTGGATATCATACTAATTTCAACGGTTGAGATCATGAGTCAGTTGAAGCTAGACCACCATGAAAAAATGTGGAAGCACTGAACTGCCGTTTCGTCCTATTGTGGGATACTTCAGTAGTGTGCATCCACGATCTCGCTCCTCGCGAGATTCAACTCATGATCTCAACCATTGAAAATATTTTTTAATTCATAGACTTCTCTATATTCATATGTATTAAACCTTACAAAGTGATTTTATTACGTAAATGATGTTTTCTTTTTTATGTTTTCTTAGTTTTCATCTACACTTGTGAAATTGATTATAAAGTACATTTGTATAATATACCCAATACATTTTTTACAACAGTGATGATGACGTTATGCTATCGTGATCGATCAATCCCAAAAGGTTTCATTATATTATATTTTTAAAACAAATAATAATAAAACTTTCATTTGATAGATTCAAACCTTGTGCAGTTATTTTATAGTTCATTAAAAAAGTTTGCCAATATGTACAATGTTTACATACAATTGATTTTATCAGAGATCAATATGGAAAAATTGAAAGAAATGATGAAATTATCTGTAAAGTATGTTTTAATGAATATTGACAATAATAATTATTATTTCAAATTATAGATGTAAACGTTTTAAATTGATATGCAATAAATCAATTAATCATCGTTATGTAAGATTAGATAAGTTTTTTTTATTGTTGATTAAATTCACTTTATATTTTCTGATTATTTTAGATTTATAATACATTACAAAAATATATGAATTGTTTTAAAGATGCTTTCTATTCTAATCATAATTTTAATATATTTTTAAAATATATCCTTTTTGTATAAATTGATAATTTTAATAAAAATTAATGAATTTGTAAATATTATTGATTGTTTATATTTTTTTAATTAACTGTTACTTACTTATGCCTTTTACTCCTCGTGAAGGAGCATAAGTCGATCACCAGCATTCCTCATCTAACCCTGTCCTGGGCAATGCTTTCAAGCTCTTTCCAGTTGTTGTTCATTCTTTTCATATCTGCTTCTATTTCCCGACGTAATGTGTTCTTTGGCCTTCCTGTTTTCTACTTCCCTTCAGAATTCAAAGTTAGGGTTTGCCTTGTGATGCAGTTTGATGATTTCCTCAATGTATGTCCTATCCATTTCCATCGTCTTTTCCTAATTTCCTCTTCAGCTGGAAGCTGGTTGGTTCTCTCCCACAAAAGGCTGTCGCTGATGGTATCCGGCCAATGGATGTTGAGTATCATGTGTAGACAGCTATTAATAAATACCTGTACCTTCTTGATGGTGGTTGTTGTAGTTCTCCAAGTTTCAGCTCCGTACAGTATAACTGCCTTGACGTTCGTATTGAAGATTCTGACTTTGATATTGGTTGAAAGTTGTTTTGAGTTCCATATGTTCTTCAATTGTATGAATGCGGCCCTTTAATTAATTAACTGTTACTAACCTGATATTATAAAATCATATTTTTGTTCCAATATACAATTCTATTGTTTGTTTTATAATTTTTATTTGTAGTGTTGAAAAATTATTTTATCTGATAATCTATGGGTTATAAAGTTTTGATTAAAACTACTTTTTTTGTGTTGAGATTCCTCACCATTGGGAATCCATTAATAAAAAGTGTCTATTAATTTAGTCTTATCGTCATAACATTTTTTTGGGATTTAAATGATTGATGTTCCTATGAGGTTCAACCTTAAGAGAAATTTATTTCTAATTGGATGTGTTACTTTTGAATTATATAAGATTAATCCAGTAAATATCAATCTCTAACCTTCGGTTATATGTCATAAATTATTATATGAATGTGTTGTTTTGCATGGTTTATAATAGTAACTAAAAGTTGAGTCATCAAGTATAACTTCGAAAATACCAAGTGAGTATCAATTATTTTGAATTGTTTTCTTCTGTTTAATTAAGCCTACTTTCAGAGAAATATACAATGTCTTAAATCATATATCATGTGATTTTCTTGAAGCATATTCACTATTTCTTTAACATTCATTTGTTTCTAATACATTTGAAGCATTTTATCAGCATGCAATATGGTTGCGGTATTCGATTATCCTCTATTTATCACTCATTTAAAGTACGTTGTTCAGTTTTAATTTTTCATTTTGAAATCACTTTTTAAAACTTGAATCCTATATTATTGATGTATTAATTTGTAAAGATTTGTATTATCCTGTGGTTGACATTCATGACTAAATTTTGTTGGAATATATGTGCATCTTGGACAGATACTTTTATATTGCCTTTATATATATATATATATATATATATATATATATATATATACTTTCGATAATGAGGCTATGCAAGACTGCTAGTAAAAATAATATCTGGTCAATAAATCATCAGTTATCTGTACTCAGTAGCTTAATGGATAAAGCGTGGGTATTTGAAGTGAATGGTATTTATTTCCAGTCTCAGTCTACTCAGCAGTACTGGCATGAAAGTATATCCAGCTGCTAAGTCCTAAACTAGACGAGACGCTCATCCTGGATTTCAGTACTATCCACGATCCAAATCAATCAAGATTTCTTTCGTCTACTTTTCTTGATATATTGTTATCAATCATCATTTTAAGCTTAAGAAAGAAAGAAAACATTATAAATCTATTCAGCAAATAGGTTTGTTGGTAGAATTTTTTGATGATACGTGTTGATATAGGTTTCCGTATACTGGGTTTCAAATATTTACTGGTTAGTAATCATTTCTATAGGCAAGTATTCTATTGTATTTTTTTTTAACATTTTAAACTAGCATGTTCAGTATATTGATCATTTTGGTTAGTTCTCCAATTTTACATTATACAACATCATTTCTTATCTCCTATAACACAGAGATTTTTATCAACAATTAATCCAAATGTGAGAACTACAATAACATCATATTACTGTCAGTACCACGAAAAGTTTTTAACATAGTGTTTCTGAACGGGATGAAAGAGGAGAACCGAATAGCATACTGCCCCAAGAATCAGAAGCAGATATGAAAAAGATAAGTAGCAACTGAAAACACGTGGTAAGGATTGCCCAGGACAGAGTTGGATGGAGAGTGCTGGTGGTCTGCCTATGCTGTTCCACAAGGGGTAACAGGCGTAGGTAAACAAGTAATCAACCGTATGGATTATGACTTAAGATATAAAGTTTATTTTGATTAAGTCAAATAAATCCTTTTACCTTTCTATAATTTATATATATATCATCATTACATAACACGTTTACTTTTTCTGTCATTACTAGGTGCCTGATGGTAGGTCTTCAATATGGCGACCTTATTTTTATTCACTTGTATACACTTTATTAAGTGGTTTAGTTGTCTCTTACTTGAAAGTAAGGCATAATATTTCTTTTTTGTCTAATTATAATCAATATTATTATTAAGAAATATTTTCGATGGTGTGAATTTAATGCTGTTGTACCGACAGTAGCTTATTTCACAAATGAAAGTTGGAAAAAGCTGAGTACTGATTTTATCACTGGTAAGTAATAATTTTTTCCTAGTTTCTTTTTGATTTACTTTTAAGTCAGTAATTATTATGTCGTAGTAAATTATAAACTTTCTAAGCAGTTTTCATCATGAATCGATATATCAGTTAACAAGCTAATAAAAAGTAAAGAATGCTAATTAGTAATTTCGTTGTAATTTGAGACATCTTAACATTGTACATACATATCACCGCTAAGTATTAAACTCAGTATATTTAAATCTCTTGCGGTGATTTTGTTGACAGAAATGAATAACTAAGTTGTAATTTTCTAATTAATATTTCAATCAATTCATAGTGAAGCTTGACTGTTGTTCGATTACAACAATGATGACTGTATCACTTACTATGTTGTTAAGCGTCATGAGTTATAATGTTTTACTAATATGTATATACCCATAATGAAAACTCTTTCTCCGCATTAATACAATATTTGCAGTTCACTTATCTACCTAAGTAAAGTATGATGCTAATTTCATACAGTTTTTCGCATTTATAAAATTAAATTAAAAAAATAACAATATCATAGTAGAATAACATGAATTCATTGATTTCATGGATTGTTCTCAGCTATTTACACATTAAAACCATATTACTATTTATTAAAAGGTAACAAATGTCAGAATCTTCTAGAATAACTGAAGTTAATATATGGAAATACAATAATATTTATTATCAATAACACTGAAAAATTATTACTTTTCAAACATATGTTTATTTTCTGGTTAAACATATGAATCTTCTAAAAGCTCATGGAAACAGAAGAATAATTTTTTCTCGAAAAATCAAACATTAATTATGTAATACAGACTAGTTAATTAAAGTTCAGGAGTAAGAATTTGTATATTAAAGTTTATGAAAAATATTCATTTATGTTTTGATGAATAAGATTAGAATTTTAGATTGTAAACATCTGAGGAAAATCCAAGACGTTAATACATTCATATTCATTCTTTATTCAAATATTTCATTTTGTGTTATTCAATTACATTAATTTTTTTGTTTATTATCGATTATAGTATAGTATCTTTAAAATGATCTAGATTATTCATTTACTTCCTACTGATTTGTGTTGTTGTACAATGGTCATTCAAAACATCATTAATAAGTCATTATCTTACTTTTCAAATGATTGGCTGTGCGAATTCACATTCCTTGACAGAACTTTGTAAAACTTATCTGCAAATAATAATTATTCGTATTGTATCAAAAAAGGAGAGAAATTTTCAAGTAAATTCTAATATTTTCATAGTTGAATTCATGAGTCAATGTAATCTAGATCATCACTAAAAACCTGGAAGCACTGAACGGCCATTTCATCCTAGTATCGGACTCCTCAGCAGCGCAAGATCATAGATCGATTGAAGTTAGATATTAACACTGTTAAATGCGGGCTCAGTGGTTTATAGATGAGGCGTTTGTGCACAAGACGGAAGGTCCTGGGTTTGAGCTCTATGTGCGGAATCGTGGACGCTCACTTCTGGGGAGTCCCATACTACAACCAGACAGCGGTCCAATGCTTCCAGATTTCCAATTGTGATCTAGCTAAAATCGACTCATAAATTCAACTATTAAAATCACTACAATCTTTACAAATCCCTATTCTAATAAATTCTAATATAACTGGACATGAATTTAAAGGATGCATTTTAGATCTACCATTACAATCTTCTTGAATAACTTTTAATCCAGTCGATTGATATACATTAAAATATACTTTTTAAAATATAACTTACATTCAAGTACTCACTTTTTTCTACATATAAATCATTGATTTAATTTCTTTATTTTTTTTTCGATTTTAATTTAGATTTAACTAAAAATAATATAATTCAAAATAAAATCAATAATAATTCAATGTCATTAATTTATCCAAATGAAACTATTAATAAAACATATATATTAGCACATAGTATTGGACGTTTATCTATGAAACCTTTTGGAAAAGGTTTTCGTTTAGTTATCAATGCTAATTATCATTTATTATCATTAAAAAATTTAATCAATCAAACAGAATTAAATTCAAATATTCAATATTCAATTCAATCTTGTTTAAGTCTTAATCAACGTTTAAAATTAAATAATGGTTTATTTGAATTTTTTAGAAAATTAAAAGTTGAAGTAAGTAATGAGTTATACATTTTAGTTTTTTTTCTCTTCTTCAATACTTATTCAAATATAATATAATTTCACTGAATTAATTTACTATGTTCTAAATAGATATCATTACCAAGGTTTGACTTGATAATTGAGTAAATAACTGAATTATCTATTCTCTGAAGAAGTGACATAAACTGAATCAGGAAACGTCAGAAAATTTAATTTTTCTACTCATTGGGATATTACATATATATTAATTTATTTATGTTCTAAATGTTTGACTACTAGTTAAATATATGTGGACATGAATAATACACTACTTTAATTCATTTTAAACAAAACATTATTGTTAGAATAATCAACGATGTAAATGAATAAAAGTTTCATCAATCCATCAATTAACATTCATTGTTTTGTTCAAGTTTGAAATTCCTTAGAAATGTGAACTTTCTTCCTCATATTGGATTAAATGTAGTATTTACAGATCTTGCAGTAAGTATAGTATCTTTAAAATGATCTAGATTATTCATTTACTTCCTACTGATTTGTGTTGTTGTACAACGGTTATTCAAACATCATTAATAAGTCATTATCTTACTTTTCAAATGATTGGCTGTGCGAATTCACATTCCTTGACAGAATAGTAATCATTCGTCACTAGAAGCTTTCATTAACTTTATGGTGAATACTATTAACGAATCATACAAAACACACATGAGACCATTTTTGAAAAAGGAAATCGTGATCTGTAGTAGCCTTCTTTATCAGTCTTTTATTACATTGGTACTTAACGGTGTTGTGTTTTAATATATAATCAACAATCGATGTCACAAGTTTACAGGCTTATTTTTGCTTATTTATCCCTGAAATGTCTTTAGACTCTACAATGATACCCTTGATTGTTCTGATAGTTCTGTTTATTAGAAATATTTTAAATATTTCGTAATACTCACCTTTGACGTTAAGTGGTTTAAAGTAGTCGACAGTAGAACCTGGACTTCCATGCCAGTTCTCACTCTTCAGCAAAACGTCCTCGAAACCTTCAGAATATCAACGTTCTTGGTCATCCAGCTTCTCAGTCTAAGATATCATCACTGACTCCATGTAGAACCGAGATATTTATATTGATTCACCCTAATTGGTGACCAGTGTCGTGTTTTTCTATACACTGTTGCCTTTTCCATATCCTAAAACTGTTTATTTGCAAGTTGCCAGCTCAAGTTAGAACAACTTTTAGTTTTTTTTAAGACTGTTTAGTATAACCCATTTATACTATCGGTTTCTTTCCTATGCTTATCATCAACTATGTCTTATTTTACTAAATGATCTGTTAAATATAACTGTTCCAAATATTTACAGCTACGCTATCAGCAATTAAAATTCATTACTATATTGACTGATGTTTCTAAATGATGTAACTTGTCTCTTTTTCAAAAATGTATTCCTTTTTCTTCAAAAATAAGCAATCCTCAGATTAATTTTAATTGCTTCAATTATCCACAATTTTTATTTCAAATGTCAAATTAATCAACAGTTAATTAAGCTTGACACTTCTCCAACATTTTGATTTATTTTCAGTTACCAGGTATTTATGCACCATCTTTATTATCGACAAAATCTGCATTTAACACTTTATTATCATTTCGTTCACTTGTTTATTCAATAGGATTTCGTCGGTAAGTTAAATAATGGTAAATTACCTTTATGTTACGTCTTGTTCCAAATAATATATTTATATTATCGTAGGGAATTTATGGAGAATTTTGAATTTCATAGTTTACATCACTGGTATGAGGAATTGTCCACTGATGACTGGTCGATAATTGGACAAATGATTGAAAACCAGCGAAATAGTTTAAAGTTTAAGCGCTCGCTACATGACCTGAATATGCTGAATTAAGTCTGCAAATGAGTCGTAGATACCCACTGTCGATGAGCCCATACTAGAACGAAACAGCCTTACAGTGATTGCTGGTTTTCTGTCATTATCTGACTAAGATCAGTCCCCAATGGAAACTGTGTTATGTACGATAATTGTATAACTTGAAGAAAGACTTTTATGCTTTGATTATGTTTACTCAACTTAGACCATTTTTCAATACACAGTTACGAATTAATATTTGTGGAAACTTTGTTCAATTTTGTTTTCTGATGCTATCACTTATTAGTTTTTTCATTATGGGGAAAAAATCTTTTTTTATTGCTTGGTTACTGTTTACTTGGCTGATTTGCTTATTTGTTGATTTTTTGAAATTTAAAATAAGTTATTCGTTGAATCCTATCTCATGTGTAAATCTTAACTGACCTACATTTATAATGAAGAATGCTTTGGGAAATAAAAATAATAATAATTACATTTAAGATTTGTTATTGTATCGAATGAAAATAGCCTGATCATGTGCCTTTAGATCAATGTTTTGAATATATATTCAACTATTTTTTCATTAGACAGAAATCGGGATACCCTCAACAATTAAACTTTCTGCAAAATGTCTAGAAACGAAGCATATAGCTTAACATTTGACAATATACAATGGTAGTTTATTATTTAAAGCACTTAATTTCTAACCAAAAATTTGTAGATTCGAATCCTCTCGCGTCGTTAACAACTGTTTACTACCATCAGTTTTTTTATGTACAAAAAGATGTACTTCGGAATTCAGCACATATTTGCTGAATATCTCCCAAAAATGATCAACTTTCCCCAGTTTTAGATTATGATTAAGGTTTGTCTGGAGAAATAAAAATAATCTGCTTAAATATAATAAGCACGAGAAACATAAACTTCGTTGTTTGTTTTTATTTTACCTACTATGTCAACTTCAAAAGATAGTGGAACAATGTCAGGACATCCGATTTCATGATAATCGGTCACCAAATATATTTCGTAAGCCGTTCAACTCCTCAGGGTCGCAGAGCCTATGTGTACCATTGGTTTGAAACCGAATTTTACCGATTCTCTTAGGTGGATCCTCGGTAGTCGCAAGCTTAATTTGAATGCCTGACGTACGGCTTTTTTAACTTTAGTTAACGACATCCTCTCTACCAGAAGTCAATGAGTATTAAACACGTGGCCGTAGGATAGCAGTTCGAGAGGGGTTTAGTCTCTATACACCCTCGGCCGTACTGAATCATTCGAAATACAGATACATTCAAGTAAATCGAAACTGGGAAAACTTTTACTGTGGTTTCACGTTCATTCAATTTCTTAACTCATATAACATAAAACACAGAAACGGTAAATCGTGTAATCTTGATAGTTATACTTGAAGTTCTAGGCAACCTTTGAATAGTAGTCCTGAAATATGGACCGTAACATAACAACACCAACAAAATACAATTGTACGAATAGGGCTATTCTGCAATGCGAGGCATGATATAACTTTGAGAATTAAAAAAAACTCAATTATTTTCATAATCTCTATTATTTCCGCTTAAATAAGATTGTTGATTCGATATTTCCCATTGTTGTTTGACAAGCGCTATTGTTATGTACTTACTTACTTACTTACGCCTGTTACTCCTCGTGAAGGAGCATAGGCCGCTCACCAGCATTCTCCATCCAACCCTGTCCTGGGCAATCCTTTCAAGCTCTTTCCAGTTCTTATTCATCTTTTTCATATCTGCTTCTATTTCCCGACGTAATGTGTTCTTTGGCCTTCCTCTTTTTCTCTTCCCTTCAGGATTCCAAGTTAGCGCTTGTCTCGTAATGCAGTTTGATGATTTCCTCAATGTATGTCCTATCCATTTCCATCGTCTTTTCCTAATTTCCTCTTCAGCTGGAAGCTGGTTGGTTCTCTCCCACAAAAGGCTGTTGCTGATGGTATCCGGCCAATGGATGTTGAGTATCATGCGTAGACAGCTATTGATAAATACTTGTACCTTCTGGATGGTGGTTGTTGTAGTTCTCCAAGTTTCAGCTCCGTACAGTAGAATTGCCTTGACGTTCGTATTGAAGATTCTGACTCGGATATTGGTTGAAAGTTGTTTTGAGTTCCATATGTTGTTCAATTGAAGGAATGTTGTCCTTGCTTTGTCAATCCTCGCCTTGACGTCTGCATCTGAACCTCCTTGTTTATCGACGATGCTTCCCAGGTATGTGAAGGATTCCACGTCTTCCAGAGTTTCGCCATCAAGAGTGATTGGATTGCTGTTCTCCGTGTTGTGTTTGAGGACCTTGGTTTTCCCTTTGTGTATGTTGAGGCCTACTGATGCAGAGACTGCTGCTATGCTGGCTGTCTTTATCTGCATTTGTTCGTGTGTATGTGATAGGAGGGCTAGGTCATCTGCGAAGTCCAAGTCGTCTAATTGGTTCTGAGCTGTCCATCGTATGCCGTAGTTTCCCTCAGATGTCGAGGTCTTCATAATCCAGTCGACCACCAGAAGAACCAGGAAGGGAGAGAGTAGACAGCCTTGTCTTACTCCGGTCCTTACTTGGAATGCGTCTGTCAGCTGTCCTCCATGCACTACTTTGCACTGTAGTCCATCGTATGAATTCCGGATAATGTTGACAATCTTCTCAGGAACTCCGTAGTGTCGAAGAAGTTTCCATAACGTCCTCCTATCTACACTGTCAAATGCCTTCTCATAATCAATGAAGTTGATGTAGAGTGACGAGTTCCACTCAATTGATTGTTCGACGATGATCCGTAGTGTCGCAATCTGGTCTGTGCACGACCGGTCCTTACGGAATCTAGCTTGTTGATCTCGAAGTTGAGCGTCCACTGTGTCTTTCATCCTGTTCAGTAACACTCTGTTGAAGACTTTACCCGGTATTGACAGTAGTGTAATGCCTCTGTAGTTTTCATACTTGCTCAGATCTCCTTTCTTTGGAATATTGATGAGGTGTCCTTCTTTCCAATCCATCGGCACTTGTTCCTCCTCCCAAATCTTCTTGAATAGAAGATGAAGCATGCTTGTAGTTACTTCGATGTCTGACTTCAACGCTTCAGCTGGTATATTGTCAGGTCCTGCTGCTTTCCCGCTCTTGATTTGTCTGACGGCCATTCTGATTTCTTCTGTCGTTGGTGGATTGACATTTATAGGAAGATCTGTGTGTACTGCTTCGATGTCCGGTGGATTCATTGGAGCCGGCCTGTTCAGGAGTTCCTCGAAGTACTCTGCCCATCTGTTGCGCTGTTGTTGAATCTCAGTGATTGGTCTTCCTTCTTTGTCTTTGACTGGTCTCTCTGGTTTACTGTATTTCCCTGCAAGCTTCTTCGTCGTATCGTAAAGCTGTCTCATATTTCCTTCTCTTGCAGCTTTTTCCGCCGTCGTTGCTAGTTCTTCCACGTATTTTTGCTTATCAGCTCTAATGCTCTTCTTCACTTTCTTGTTTGCTTCTATGTACTCTGCTTGTGCTTGGACTTTCTCTGCTCTTGTTCGACTGTTGTTAATTGCTGTCTTCATGTTCTTTCTTTCTTTGATCCTGTCCAGTGTTTCTGTAGAGATCCATTCCTTGTGATGATGCTTCTTGGGGCCCAGAACCTCTTGAAACGTTGAAGTTAGTGTTTCTTTGATACCTTTCCAGCTATCCTCCATAGTGGTTTCTTTTTCCTTCAGTAGATCCTGTAAGGCTTGGAACCTGTTGTTGAGAGCTACCTTGAATTCATTGAGTTTGTCAGTATCTCGAAGGAAGGCTGTATTGAACCTTTGTGGTGCTGTTTGTCCAGTTGTCCAGTTCTTCTTTAGCTTCAGTTTCAGTTTGGCCACATCTAGGTGATGATCTGAAGCTATGTCCGCTCCTCTCCTGGTTTTCACATCTTCCATTGTCCTTCGGAACTTTTTATTGATGCAAATGTGATCTATCTGGTTCTCTGTGGTGTGGTTCGGTGAGATCCATGTAGCTTTGTGTATACGTTTGTGTGGAAATGTTGTACCGCCTATGACCAATTTATTGAATGCACACAGATTTGCAAATCGTTCCCCGTTTTCGTTTCTCTCTCCCAGTCCATGTAGTCCCATGATGTCTTCATATCCGGTGTTGTCCATTCCGACTTTGGCGTTTAGATCTCCCATGAGAATGGTGAGGTCCTTTCTTGGGCACTTCTCTATGATTGATTGCAGCCTCTCATAGAATTGATCTTTAACGTCATCGTTGCTATCATTGGTGGGTGCATAACATTGGATAATGTTCATTGTGATCCCCTCCTTCTTTGTTTTGAATGATGCTTTGATGATTCTGGATCCGTGAGATTCCCATCCTACAAGTGCATTTCGTGCTACTTTGGATAGCATTAGAGCAACTCCCTGAGTGTGTGGAGCATTTTCCTCTTCGTGACCGGAGTATAGCAGCATCTCTCCCGTATTTAGCCTTTGTTGTCCAGCTTGGGTCCAATGGGTTTCACTGATTCCCAGTACTGCCAAGTTGTATCTCCTCATTTCCGTTGCTATTTGACTGGTCTTCCCGTTCTCCCACATTGTCCGGACGTTCCATGTACCTATAAAAATTGTTGCTCTGGTTGTTAGAAGGGGCATCAGCCTCGTGGCTTCCGAAGGAACTCGGCTTTCACCATGAAGCGTCATATTACCTCTAACTCCCAGGGCAGAGTTTAAATGGTTTGAGTTATTTTTTCTGGTTAGCGTTTTTTTAGCGAGTTAGGTTTCTACGGGATGGGGACGCTAACCCCATGCCCAACCCTCCTCCTTTATCCGGGCTTGGGACCGGCAGTAACTCTGGAAGTGCTACAGGCGGAGTTATTGTTATGTATTTTACCCTTATTTAAGAATAGTAACTTGAACCATTGTGACTGACTGGCATGGTTGCACATTGTTTAGCTATCCCTTTTTTCTTTTATTTCCTGGTTTACAATGGCTGTTTAAGCGAGATCAGATATCGGTAGACCCTAAAGTACAACTTATTGAGAATAATTTCAATAGTTATTTATAAGTATTTGGATAGTTCTTTGAATATCGACATTATTAAAAAAAGTTGGTCGTTTGATGTTGTATAACCTTTTATAAATATTTGGAAAATTAACTTTTTCACTATATTCTCATACCATCAATACATAAATCTTATACGTTTATTTCTATCAGTCAGAGCTAATAATCAACAATGTAGGATCTCGCATGTGTATGCATCGCTTGAAGTTGTCGTATTATATCAGCACAGTGAGATGGAGGTACCAAGACAAATGCCAGAGTAGTTGAAATAGTAACAATATCAGTAGTATTGTAATATATTAAGCAGAAGCAATGTTTTTAAAATAAAGTATAAGTTAGCCTTTTCCAAAAAAAAAAACACAACAGAATCGTTTCTTTTTACTTCAGACACAAATGCTCAAATGTAAAAATATGCTCATGATGTTTGATAGTTTTCAATATTAATTTCTTTTGTGTTTGTAGATTTTGGATTGCAAAATTAGATATTTTGGATTTTTTTAATCAAATTATTCATTCTAAATTATTAGAAGTTTTTTCTAATACTTTAAATGAAGTAAGTGAAAATTAATAAAATGTTTAAAGTGGTATTGAATACTGAGTAATAATTGGTTAAAATATTGTACAATTTTATTGAGAATAATAATCGGAAAAGGTTCGTTAACATTATCAAAGCAGGTTTAAGGTTATAGCTTTCATGAAGTTCAAGAATGCATCTGTACCATTTTTTTAAAAATCTCTTAGAGGTTTTTTGACGAACTTTTATAACTGTCCTTTTTTGGCACTAGATAATTCTGTTTGTCTGTCAATTGTACTTAGTTATCCAAGTCTAAGATTACATTTGCTTTTGATTCTTTTTAGTCATTTATTTTACAATTGTCAGTTATATCTCCTAATTACTTCCCCTTTTGGATGTATATCTATTTGTATTCACTAGTACACTCAATGCAAAATGGCAAGCAGTAGTTTTGAATTACATTTTATTATGTAGTAATGTTTTAGTTCACCTGGTAATAATAATTTAGAGTACATAGCACTTTATTGATAAGTATAGTTATAAGATAAGCATTGTTTTCCTTAATTAATCATACAAAGGAACCAATCGTTTTATAGACATTAAGAATGATTCTAAGAGAACATAATTCTATTCATAAACCTTATTTTCACCTTAAACTTGGTTTAGTATTCTTCAGAACCTTTTTTATGCATGATATCCAAATCTATTACTCTTTTTCCTACCATACATTTCACATTTTTTAAAAATTTTATATTTTCACAATCTGATATGTTGTTTTACTTTACTTCGTTTTGTATATACAGTTTACGGTTATATTATTTAAAATATTCAATACATTAGCACACTACAACGATGCTTAATGATATTTTTTGCTTCCTTATAATCTTTTATCTCTTTGGTCAGTCAGTAAACAACATGGAATCTGACATGTAGATGTTTCTGTTCAAAATATAACACTCAGAAACTTTTACCAGGATGAAAAGCAAACGCAGTTAGATTCTAATGATAATGACGATATCCATGATACTGGCAAACTAAACATGGAGAATGAAATAAAAGCGTAGTATGATAACCATGAACTAACATTGAAATCAAAGATTTAGAGAACTAAATGCATTTTTGCCGTTGTCACCTGAAGTCTAAAATTACGGAATACCATTGTTTTTAAATCTCAGTCTACAAGTTTTCACGTCCCTATATGTTTCAGTCCATCAGAAACTGTCTCTATGGACTAAAAGCATTTTACGAGGCGGTGTTAGACTCATCAGTTTTCTTTATACATTACATCTAATATCAGCATCGATTGCTTGTTTGATCATATGCTAACTATGTTTCGATGTCTATTATGGGAAAGCTAATAGATTGTGCATTTTCTCATAAGCCATGTGTTACACAGAAATTAATATGAAAAGAACTGCTATGAGGCACATTTGGCCTTTGATAGGTAGCTAAAGGTCTAGCACACACACAACAACACTCTGTGTTTGATTATGTCCAGCTTTTTTTTCTAACATGGGTTCATTATTCCATAGTATTATTATTAGTGGCTTTATTAAATATTATATTTTTGGTACAATATAGAATTCTCAGCACAAAGTTTTTCAACAAGTTTCCCTGTCTTATTTCTTGATCAGTTCTTGTGATAAATATTGAGTGGACGCCAGTTAGATGTTAGCGGTTCAGGAATCGACATCTGATAAATGTACATCCTTTTCGATTCATATAGCCAGTAACCACGATGTCTCTGATTGAGCTCTTTTGTAACTTGTACAGCGAAATGGGGTAAACTTTTCACAAACGCACCTGAATAAGTTTATGAGACTAATAGGCATAATGATGTGTTAAAACAAACAAGAAATCAGATAACTTGTTGAAATATCCAGATGGCAGGAACAGGTAGCCCAGATATTCCAGCAGGCCGCCTTCTAGATTTATTTCCTGTTAGAACAAATACCTGGTATGTTCAGTACTGTGTTATTTACGAATATAATAAAAAGACGCTGTACTTTATATATCTCCTTCATTTTCAAGGTCAGCAATTATATGTATCCTACACCAAATATACATTTCCTTGTTCGTGAATTGGAATGGTTTTTAAAAGAATCCATTATTTCTGTACGTTATAACCGATTCATTGCTAATATTAATAATAATGTTTCTTATAAAGTTATTTGATGTGTATATTTATTCCTTTCAGAAATAGTTGAGATTTTTGATGGTTAATTTCATATCTTTTTTAGGTAAACTCCACGAAATAATATTGGCTAGTGTAAAGTCATTGAATATCAGCAATTAATAGTATTAGGACACCGTAAAAAACGAAATTACGTTTGAAATGAATGCTATATATATTTAGTTTACCATCGTTTGTATGAATTCAGTGTGCAGTTCACTAAATAAAACATACGGTTGTATAAATTCAGGGTGAAGTCCAGTTGGGTTCCTATCATTTCGGTTGTTAATGATATTCTATGACTAATTATCAAATATCAGTAAAATCTGTATACAATTGAATCTGTTTCATAAACGTGGTTGTCGTGTTTTTAAAGAGGGAATAGAATCGTGATCTGCCATCATGTTTTGTTTTGTTCCCTACGTTGTGCAAAATCTCAGTGTCTTTCTATTCCAAACACTAGTTTCCTTGATTATAACACCTAGATAGTTGTTACATCCTTATTTTGAACTCGACAGCAAAAGATTAGGCCATATGTTGAACTCAAATCCCGAACAACAGATCAAAATCATATATATATATATATATATATATATATATATATATATATATATATATATATATATATATATATATATATATATAATGAATAAACATATATTTTTTTATCTTTTTTAAACAAAATCTATTAACAGATTGATGGAAAATTATATTCGTTCATCAAAGGTATTCCTCAAGGATCGTGTATTAGTTCAGATTTGGCTAATATATATTTAGCTCATTTGGATCGTGAATTACATAGAACACAAACTATTCTTTGGTCTCCTCATAAATTCCTACAAAATGATGTATTCAAAACAACAGATATTCATTTGAATAAATGTTCAACTATTCTACGTTATTTAGACGATTATCTGTGTATATCAACATCTAAAATTGAATTGCAAAATTTAATAAAGAAAATAAACACTTGTGAGGAATATTCACTGTTATGATTAAAATATCATGTTTTTTTATGATCTTTGAATATTTTATTTCGTAGGTGCGCACTACTGAGGAATCCCATACTAGGATGAAACAGCTGTCCAGTGCTACCAGCTTTTCAATGGTGGTCTAGCTTAGATAGATTCATAAATTCAACTACTAAATTACTACAATTTCCACAAACCGCCGTTCTGTTGACATTTTTTCATTTTCAAAAAAAAGATAATCTTTTGCTTTAATTTGATCATGCAATAATTTTCCTGTTTATAAGTATCAGTACCACGGTTGGACTTGATAGTTTCAAATAAATTGAGCATTGAGTTGAGAGTTAATAACATACTTATTATTAGTTTTCCTGTTTGCATATTGTTTAGTGTGTTTAACGAGTCATGGTCTAGTTGTTCATGTCATTAAATCATCGATTTTCCTCTAGATTTGATACATTCATATTCTATAATTAGTTTGTATGCGCAATTGAATAGTCCCAATCGGGGTACCGTCGGATTACCGAATAGCTGTTTCATCCTAGCATGGGACTCTCCAAGAGTGTACAGCTATGAGCCCAACGGTTCCATAGGATGAAAAAGGTTTTCAATATTTCTTGGTTTTCACTGGTATCCCATCCGTGATGAGTGAACTTTGCAAATTAAACTGATCTCCACCACACATCTGCACTATCTTTAAATTTCTATAAAGAAAACAAATTCATGAAAACTATGGCGGTGAAGCGGTTTTATAAAATACTATATTTTTGGTTATTAGACAGGATATTCCATCTTCATTACATCTGTCGTGGTTTAAACAGTCGAGCAGCATCACAACCGTATAAAAACGGTACAGATCAAAGCAGATTACTTGATAAATGAATTACATTATGAGTGAGGATAAGCTAATCATAAGATTTTAAAATGAAGATGAATTATTTTTGTTCTCTCCAAAGTTGATAGGACATTTTGATGAGAAAATAGATGGTACGTGAATTCAAATAAATACTAGGATTAGAAGTAGATAATGTTTAGGTTATAGGTTCACTGAGATACAGGACCTAACCAGTCATAGTGATTATCATGTCTATATACAAATGTGCGTTTGAAGTTTAAGTCCATATCAACTAATTAACAATCAGTCAGTCCTTCACTTTATTTATTGAATTGACAGGATTCGGTTTAACTCTTATGTACTTATGAATGTCAGTTTAAATTACAATGATTCCGAAATTAAAATAACTCCAGCTACAATCCAGCTATACATAAATCTTGCTTTTTCAACCTAGGTCACATTAAAATGTCAAGTTTTTTATCCATATAATTCGCAATGCTTTTGAGATTAACTGAATGTTACTACTTTTTTCTCTCTGTTATCATTTATTTACCAAATATGTAAACAATGTGAAAACTATATATACATCCACACTTCATGATTTTTATTTAGTTGAACGTAACATAATCAACCTGTATACATATTAACTAATAAATTCTTAAAGTTGGTAAGAGATTTACTCATGTTTGATAGTATACTGTAATAAGCTATAGTGACATTAATCATTATTAATATTTGAACATGTACCTATAAACTTATTCCCTTACTTACGCCTGTTACTCCTAATGGACCGTAGGCCGCCGACCAGCATTCTCCAACCCACTCTGTTCTGGACCTTCTTTTCTAATTCCATCCAATTCTTGTTCATTTTTCCCATGTCTATCTACATTTCTTGGAGTAATATGTTCTTTGGACTTGAAGATTCCAAGCGGGAGCTTAACTTGTAACGCAGTTGGGTACTTTCCTCAAAGTATGTCCTATCCACTTCCAGCGCTTCTTCCTCCTCTGGGGTCTGGTTTGTTCTCTCCCATAGTAGGTTGTTACTGGCCAACGGATCCGAAGTATTTTGCGTAGACAACTGTTAATAAACACTTGTATCTTCTGAATGATGGCTTTCGTAGTCCTCCAAGTTTCCGCCCCATACAATAGAACTGTCTTCACATTTGTATTGAAAATCCTGACCTTGGTGTTGGTTGACAGTTGTTTTGAGTTCCAGATGTTCTTCAGTTGTAGATATGCTGCTCTTGCTTTGCCGATGCGCGCCTTCATATCTGCATCAAATCCACCGTGTTCATCAATGATGCTGCCCAGATATGTAAAGGTTTTTACATCTCCCAAATCTTCTCCGTCAATTTTATTGAAGAGAATGTGGAGTGTCCTTGCAGTTACTGCTACATCTGCTTTCAGTGCCTCTGCTGGAATTTTGTCCGGTTCTGCTGCTTTGCCGCTCTTGATTTATCTGATGGCCATGCTGATCTCTTCAATTATTGGTGGGCCAACATCGACTGGGAGGTCCGTAGGTGCTTCTTCGATGTTGAGTGGGTTCAGTGGAACTGGTCGAGTCAAGAGTTCTTTGAAGTTTTCTTCTCACATGTTTCGCTGTTCTTCGATGTTGGTGATCACTTTGCCCTCCTCGCTCTTCACTGGTCGTTCTGGTTTACGATAAATTCCAGCGAGTTTCTTTGATATGTTATACAATTGTCTCATGTTTCCTTCTCTTGTAGCCTTTTCCACCGTCGTTGCTAGATCTTTTCCTTCCAGTTGCTCTCCGTAGTAGTTCCCTCCCCATTGAGTAGATCGCGAAAGACCCGGAACCTATTGCTGAGGGTTATCTTGAATTGGTTGAGTTTGTCAGTGGCCCGAAGAGAGGCCGTATTAAACTTTCGTGATGTTGTTCGGTGCTTCTTGAGTTTCAATAACATCTTGGCAACCAGCAAGTGATGGTCTGATGTTATGTCAGCTCCTCTCTTGGTTCTCACGTCCTCCATCGTCCTCCTGAACTTTTTGTTGATGCAAATATGGTCGATTCGGTTCTGTGTAGTGTGGTCCGGTGAATTCCATGTGGTTTTGTGAATGCGTTTGTGTGGGAATATAGTGCCGCCTATGACCAATTTATTGAAGGCACATAGGTTTGCAAATCTCTCACCATTTTCGTTCCTTTCTCCCAGTCCGTGTCGTCCCATGATCTCTTCATATCCGGTGTTGTCAATTCCAACCTTGGCATTAAGGTCTCCCATCAGAATAGTCAGGTCCTTTGTTGGGCAATTCTCGACGATTGACTGCAGCCTATCGTAGAATTGATCTACAGCATCTTCATTATGGTCGTTGGTAGGCGCGTAGCATTGGATGACGTTCATTGTAATCCCCGTTTTCTTTGTTTTGAAGGAGGCTTTGATGATCCTGGGTCCATGAGATTACTATCCTATAAGTGCTTTTCCTGCTTGTTTGGACAGCATCAATGCAACTCCTTGTGTATGTGGAGCATTTTCTTGTTCATGTCCGGAGTAGAACAGAAGCTCCCCTGAGGCTAGTCGTTGTTGTCCAACTTGCGTTTAATATGTCTCACTGATCCTATGCACCTCCAGGTTGTATCTTTTCATTTCTGCAGTAATTTGGAAAACTCTCCCAGTCTCCCACATTGTACGAGCATTCCGTGTACCTAAATAAATTGTTGCTGTGGTTGTCAGAAGGAGCATCGGCCTCGTAACTTCCGAAGGAACTCGGCTTTCACCATGAGGCCTCATAACTCTTCTAAATGAAGACCTTCTGACTCCCGGGGCAGAGTCTAAGTGGTTTGAATAATTTTTCTGGTTAGCGTTTTTTAGCGAGTTAGCTTTCTACGGGATGTAGTCGCTAACCCCATGTTCATCACTCCTTTAATCGGGCTTGTGACTGGCAGTCATTTATATTTTTACTATCTCTTATCAATCAAACAGTTATCAAAACTATATATTCTTTTTTAGTATTTACTATTTCATCAATAATCATAACTTAGTTAAAATCAATCAACTTTTAATTAATCTTAATTATAGATTATATAAAAGATTTGATTTTATCAGAAAAATTAATTTATCACTGTATATGTATATTACATCATAAGTTATTATAAGTATTCGTTGTATTTCTCTTTACTTTTTTTTCTTGTTTTCAGCACTTAACTGTTATGGATTATTATTAAATGAACAAAAATTGCAAACTAATTTATATGATTCAAGTAAAGTTAAAAGATTTTAAATAATCTCTACGTTTCATTTACCTTTTTTCAACTGACCTCTATTAGAATAATATCATTGTAAAAAATTAGGTTAATGAAAAATGTGTATTAATTTTATTTTTTTTTATTAAAAAAAATCCATCTGCGGATTAGTCACTAGTTATCACAAGAATAAACACTGTTGATATCTAGTTTATAATCTAAAGTGGAAGTGATTACTTAATACTCTTTTAAATTCAAAAATTATTGGTTTTACGTTAGTTACAAGCAAAAATATTGATCTCATTATATCGTAGAAAAATCTCTTCCTTGAATAGTTTCTAAGTTGGTTGTATCAAACTAGATCAGTAGAAAAAAATGAACAAAGCTAAGATTTTGGATAAAGTAACGACCAAACGTATATATATATATATATATATATATATATATATATATATATATATATATATATATATATATATATATATATATATATATATATATATATATATATATATATATATATATATATATATGGAACGAACGTATATGTATTCGGATGAGCTTTATTGTGATTTGTTGTTTATACGTTTGATATTGATCAATATATCGTATCGTGATTATTATGAACGACCTTTAAGAATAGTTTGAATAATGAGTGGTGTTATTATCTAAGTCCTTATTTTTGTAATCAAAAAATTGGATAAGTTATTGACTGATTTACAAATAAAGAAATTTTTATAGATACACGCGCGCATTCATCATTCATTTGGGCCGTTACCGACCTTATGTATGAGTGATATATTTCCAATGGATTGATCACTGATTAGTAACCATTATCATGTTTCTAGTCCTTTGTTACTGATCGAATTCTTTTTAATTTGATCAGTCGACATATGAAGTTTTGGACCACTGTCATTCGCAGATATTTATTCCATTTAGCATTATTCTTCATTGTTTTTACTATCTTCTTAATAATAACATTTTGTATAAAGTGAAAAGTCTTACTTTAAGTTATACGTATCCATTGTGTTGTAGTCACTTATCTGTCCTTTTCTTTGCATTATATAGATGTCCCTATAAAGTGGCTTGGGATTGAAGTACATTCTAGTTTAGCAATAACTTTACCTAAAAATAATAGTCCACGTAAGTTTTTAAATTCATCTATAATATAAATAACATTACATGACTTTAACATTAATTTATTGGTATTTTCAGGTCTTTGCTAAAATTTTAAATGTAAACAATTTAAAACTATCTTTTATCACAAATTGACACCAAACAAAAAATAATTACTACGGGGGTTATTTTGTTTTTACTTGAAATTCTGTAAAAAAAAAAACAGGAGCATCTCCTTTCTCTTCATTCAACAGATTCAAATTCAAGACTTCTGGTTCATGTCGAGAGTATAATACCAGTGCTTGCGCCTAGTGTTCAATATATTCTTCAATTGGCTATCAGTTTGTAATATGAATTACTTAATAGGTTGGATTGAATTTCTAATAAGCTACTACTCTGGTGAATGGGCAATTGATTAAATCTAGTTATTTGTCGAAATTTGTGTTCATTTACTTGTATGATGATGACGATAACGAAAAAAACCAACAGCAATAACGATTACTGATGCAGAATAATATGAATTCATTATATTTCGTGGTTTCTCGTCAGCTGTTTACGACCAAATATGTATTGGAATTTTACATAGAGATAAGAAAGTATGGAACAATTGACATTAGTCAATGTAAAGGATTGGAATGACAAAGGTTATCAATGATAACTGATTGCATGAAGCAATAACGATATTGAAGTTTGCTCATCGTTATCTCAACAATACCTTACGTAGAACCGTTATTGAAACACAGTAATAATAATGTTACGACCTTGATCTGTATGTTTACTAGTACATTCCTAATAAGCAGAAGGGGAAAGAGAGTTGTTTAAAGCTACTCAACGACCTTGACGCACTTTATCACTTAGTAAAATTCTGAGAATAGAAAAGAGTATGGGATTAGTCCATTCATCTAACGAAAGCTTATAATTTACAGAGTAAAGAAGACACGAAACTAAATCTTACCACTTTACATATGTTGAATTGAGCGAGACAATATCCCAAAACATAGCTTTCGTTGTTTGTCATTTCTTCTTTACTCGTCTATTTGAATCAAATAATAATATTGATGTGATTTTTTTGTTTTTTACTATACTTTCTGTTATTGTTTATGTTGTATTTCTAATGTTAACTTTTAGCAAGATTTTGTCGATTTTCTGGTCAATCGTTATCAGCCAATGATTGCATGAGACGATTATGTAAATTTCGTCTTCATTGTCCAACTTGGCGTTTCACTTTCCACAAGATAATCTATAATACTAACATTAGGCAAAATGTATTTATTTGTAAAAATGCAAATATCGGAAAAACAGATTATTTGTTACAGATCAACGCTCATCGATTAGGCAACAGAATAGCTGATATTGTATGGATATCTTTAAAAACTTCACCGGAAAAATATAGATTACTTCAACCTTCTATATCTCGAAGACTAGCAAGTGAGCGAAAAAATTGATGTTGTAGTGTGAAAAGAGGTTTTCCCCCCCTTTTTAATTAACATGAAGAATTTTCTTCATATCACAATTGATTCCGTGAAACTCATTTTAAAATAGGCTTATGTAACAGTCATTGATAATAATCACAAGAATTTTGAGTAATTAACTAAACAATCAGTAGTTCACATCTTTTTTTGTTGATTAAGGTCTCAACAACAACTAAGAAGAACAATCTGAATTGATTTCATTTAATAGTCTTTCTTCAGCCACTTACAAGCGTACTTGTTTCCGGGTGTAACATTAAATTATGATAATACATGATACTTATCAGCTATGTATATATGGGAATAAACGTAGGCAGGGTTATTTGATGATGAACATTGAAGACCTACAAAAGGTAAAGCAGTAATTACATAGCATTAAAAAAATGAAAAGACGGATTACGTAATAGCTGCTGGTATTTGTAAAGTTTACATAAGTCTAAGATTTCCAACTTTATATGCGTTGTTATTTCAGTTGCTTTCCATAATCAATGTAGATTATTTTTTATTATATCATAATTCAATGCTATATTTCCGTACGAATACGCTTGTAAGCGAATGAAGAGACCATAAAATAAAATCAATTCATATTGTTCTGTTTTAAATGTTCTTCTAGCTTTATTTCAGTTCATAAACGTAACTAACTATATCTTCTCTATGTATTTTATGATGTTTACCTGTGTTTTAATCATTAACTTAATATAGGCAATGAATTTTCTGACTTAAGAAGGTGTTTTCAATTTTTCTTGCCCCACATAAGTTTAGTTGTATTATTTTTTTTTTCAAAAGGCTGTTGCAAAGGAAAGCATGGACTCTAATTAGTTGAATATTGAATTACATTTTATTAAATGACAGTATATTCCAGTACATAAATAGGGTGATAATGACCGTGACTACAAATACAGTGAAATCATGTGTCGTTCTTGCCTAATTGAAAATTATGTAGGGAACCAGGTGCATGAAGTACCAGTATTTCAGAGGTATTGTTTAAAATAGTTGATTTGTTTTAAAATGAAGTCTCTTTGTATGCATTTAAAGTCGTTGACGCTTTTCTATTATGATTTATTAAATCCATACTGATTAGAATGGTTGAATCTGATATTCGTATTCAGAGAGTCACTGGCTGAGTATCTAAAATAAAGTTCAATTCTTTATTTGTTTTAATGAATTCATATCTTTCTTTTAAAAAATGTTATTTTTCTCCACTAAATATAGAATTATGTTGTATTCGCTTGTGTATGTTTAAAATTACAGTTGCTATGATTCATCTATCACATATGATACACATACATACTGATGATTCATTCAAATGATAATTATTTTCAACAAGCCCACACACTGGATCAACCTAATTCCTGTAAATGTTCAAAGTTTATCTAATTAGATAAATAAGAAAAGAAAATAACTATTAAAAAGCACATTGTTTTCTTCCCATAATATTTATTTTCTTTGTATGATTTACTTAGATTACAGTGTTATAGTGTGTACTAATCTTCAGTTATATGAAAATCTGTAAATTTCATTTGTTATGTCTGAAGTCGATTTCGGTACATCAATCAAAAATCATCGATTTTGTAAATAATTATTTTTTATGAGGTCAGTTTTTCACATAACCATGATGTACACAAACATGACTAAATCAGTAATGGAGATATGAAACTGACCAATCAGAGGTAAAAAGGAAATCTTAAGCATTATGTGTAGATAGGGATGAAGTAAGTTGAAATCCCTAATGATTCATTGATCTTTAGACCGTGTTTCAGAAACGCATATTAATCAAGGTATTTAGTTGTAAAGCGGACCATGTAAATCAACGAACACATTGTTGTAATGAATATAACTGGCAACACAATTGATTCATGAGTGTTCGAATTCAATCCATTTCTTGCATATAAATTGAATACATCTGTCTTTGTAAAGTTCCTTGATATGAACGAATACTTTAATCACTTAACATATTAACATAGTCCATAGAATGTTGAGTCACTTAAACTAGTAGTTACATTGTAACTCTACCAACAGAATTCGACCATTACCAAAGGAGTAGACAGATATAACATTGATCACTGCTTAATGATCAATCAATTATAAATACCTCTCTTTTTCTCAAATTCCATTATTAAGACATTTCAAATATAAAAACTTAATATTCGGGGTGTTTTTTAATTGTATAGTGAGGATTTTTGACTTGAATTAATTCGATGATAAAAACTTTCAACCATGTTTTTATTTATTTATTTCATGTTTCTATATATTAAAAATAGCTGTTGACAGATTCAGTTCAAAAAAGTTATTCACCACAGGTAATCAAATATAGTTTTGCAATATCGTTAATTGATTGATGTTAGATATGTACACCGTTAGATCCCAGTTCAATGGCCTAAAGATTATTCATTCGCATGTGAGACTGAAAATCTCGAATTCAATCATCTGTAGACTACTAAGTAGTCTAACATTAGGACAGAAAAGCTATCTAGTGCTTCTTCACTTTCAGTAGTTGTCTATCTAATATCAATGTAGAATGTAATTTATAGAAATTTAATTGGTTCTTTTATTAAAATTAATTCAAAGAAACAATTCTATAATTTGTTTTGATTTATTCTAAATAATTATAACCTTATTTTATTTTATTAATTCAGAGGTAATATTTAGATGTATATCTGTAAATATTGGCTTTAATCGTTATTGGTTATATCATTTAACTGTGAATAGTTTTATTAAACGTTTACTTCCACATAAAGGTGAATTAAAATGGTTAATTATTTGGATGCAACAATTTAATCATTTAAATTTTAAAAAATGATTTTTTTAAATTTATAATAAAAAAGAAAATAATTACTAGGTAATTATTTATTGTAAACAAAATAAATTTTCTGATTTTATTTTATAATAAGGATAATTGTTTTTTTATTTTTGAAGACATTCAATCAAACAGATAGTTGTTGTCAATTATTACACAACATTATGATATTGTATAGTGTATATATTTTTTCTTGCATACGCATTATATTTCTCTGTTTGTTTTGTCTATTTTTTTACACTGAAATAACTTTCTAAATATTATTAATCGAATCAAAAGTTGATTGATGTTATTTTAATATATATATTGAGTAATATACAGGATACCAATCCTAATAGTGTTTTCAGTTTAAATAATAATGGTTTAGAGTAGTTGGATTGGGATCATGAACCGATTGATGTTTGATCACCATTGAAAACCTGGAAGCACTAGACGGCCGTTTCGTCCTATTTTGGGACTCCACTTACGGGATTCGAACCCAGGGCCTTCAGTCTCGTGCGCGAATGCTTAACCTACTGGACCAGTGAGCTGGTATCCAACGGTGTTAATGTCTAATCTCAACTAATCCACGAAATTACGCGACCATCTTCAATTGTACTGAGGTAGATACCTGTCTCTACCCGACACAGATTATCTTCATGATCTCAATCAAAAACTTAATAATCTCCACAACCCCTATACTGATAGTTAGAGAATTTAGTTCTTGATCAGTCTTGATTGGCATATATTCATCTTGAGGGACTGCTTTGGTATAGCCATTATAACACAAGTTTAGATGGAATAGTTGGAATGCGGTGACATTAAAGTGATCAGCACAAGATGTACATATTACTAACCAAGATTGGTTGAATTTCAGTCGAAATATCAACAACGGCTTATTCCAAACCATTAAAAAAAACTAAATTCGAATTCATTCTCAATGTACAAAGGAGTGACTGTCGGGACTTAAGAACTAAATTGGTAACTCATTGCCGTCTTAAAGAACGGTATTGGGTTTAAGTCCCACAGTGAACATTAACTCTGTATTGCAGTTGTATCCAGCTGATGAGTCTTAGTCAAATCACCCTGCAGTTAGGTCACTCAATATAGAACAGGTCATCAATCCCTGTCAAGGACAACCAACACGTATATCATGAACTGACGCACACAATCGTGGTCTCGTTATCTTCTCCGTACTCATTCTTACTAATATATTTCCTTAATAACGTCCTTTGTGTTATACGGTCTTCAAAGCAGCCATAATACTTTGGTACATCAAAGGAGTAATCCAAGTTAGATTTTGACCGCAAAGTGTAACTTCGAAAATAGCTTTTGGTCACACCATTATCGTCTAACTCGAGTATTCTTCCAATCATTCGACATAGGTCATCTACGTTGGCGATTCACAGTATAGTACACAAAATGCATATTACTATATTTATCTTTGAAATTTCGATAACTATACATCTTCAGTTTTTCCCGCAACACGATTGTGAAGAATTCATTTGTATGTGCCGGTAAGAATATATGAGAGAATTCTCCCGTGTGTCCTTTACATTTAGCTATTTGCTTGTTGTTTTTTTATATACATCGTTTCCATACTTGGTCTGTCTGCGATTATTATTACGATATTCTTTACAACATCTGAATTGTAAGTCACTCCTTATTGATGTTAGCTCTTTTAACAACCGCTTTATCCTTATTTTATTTGACAGTGATTTAAGGCTGTTGCCGTGACGTATTGCAGTACTTCTGTAGTTGTCTTGAGAACTGATCGTTCCTGTTAAAAAGTAGGCATGTTCTCCGCTTCCCTCGTGGACGTTCGAATACAGAAATCGATTAATAATTAAGTTTCTTGAGTAATTATTTTATAGCTGGTTGCTCATCTTTGAAGTAAATTGGAATTATCTATTATTTTCTTTGGTTGAAATTTCGCTCCTCTGCTGATGAGCTTTTTTTTATTGTAATTATTAGATTTTACTGAGTGTCCTGCATTTGCTGATAAGGCCTTCTTCAAGCACTACTAGTTTTACTTGAGTTTACATTTTTTATAACAAAATCACTAGTGTACGTCTTTGAATAAGCATATTTGATTTATTTAAACTCAGAAACAATCAACTGTGTAGACAAACAGGAAGTACTCCAACTCTAGATTTGAAAGGCTGTTTGAAGAAGCTCTGTATTCTTTCTCTAGTTGTTAACCCAATGATTGGGTCTGTTAAGTTTGATTCGTGAATGAATCCCCAAAATAAACAGACTTGTATGCCTCAAAGTTGTATTTGCCGACATGGAAAAATATCACTGACATAGTGTTCCAAATATAAAAATTACAAGAAACATTAAACAGGATGTTATCGTGCACAAATGAAATATCAGAAATCATTTTCACAGTTTGCTACTATGAAGCTGACTGGAATGTCTAGAATGAACACAGCCATCCACCATACTTCACTGAAGTGATCATGAAACTTCACTACTTCGTCGACACTGGCGTAGAAGTTGGCGTTCTTCCGGAAAATCTAAAATGCCGCTGCACGAAATCATTTTCCACTTACATACGGCAAATGAGATACCGATTGCTGCGTATGACAAAAGATATATGTATCTTAACGTGGATTTACGCAAACCTATTTGCAAGATTTGTGTTGTTGCAGATGTTTCAATGCCACTTATTGGTGTAAACCTGCTACAACACGATGATCTAATTGTCGACAAGCGAACGAAGATTATTAAACGAAAATACTAATTGATCTCCTTATATGACTTCTTTTTCCGGTTGTTATTTTATTACTTTATTTTATTTGAACACATATATATTGGTACAGGGGGGCACCAAATATATATGCGTCACACAAAACAGTGAGAATGGGAAGAGGAAAAAGAAGGTAACGTGTGTATCAGGAAAAAAAGGAAAAACAGAACAATAACGACCACAGATTAGAGTAAGTTAGTGTAGTATTATTAATAATAATGGGGGAAACGCAGAGGTACAACCAGAAGAAATCTTTCAGTTAAGAAAGTTACAACCATCTTTTATGAAGAAACTAAAATAAAGTTACAGCACGATCGCCATTGGCTTCTATTCTGAGCCATATCTGATAACGTCTCTAGCCACTGTGTCGCACCATCTCTCGGACGCCAGCCAGGGAGTCGAGAACGACCAACACAAGCCAGCCCTTTGCAGCTTTCTTTCATACCACAACACCATGTCATATACTGACCACCTCTCCGCTTTTTCCAACCAGTCCCAGAGTCGGCAAATAATGCACGACGTGGAATTCTCTGGGACGACATTCGTAGAACATGTGCAAGCCACCGAAGTCGGTGTTTCAAGATGGTGACACCAATTGCATTATCGTCTCTGTGACCGAACACTCGATGCCGAACCTCTGCATTACTAACATGGTGTTGCCACTGGATGCCAGCAATCCTTCGGAGACAACGATGATCGAACACAGAGAGTCGTCTAACATCCTCAACTCGGAGAGGCCAGGTTTCACAAGCATAGAGCAAAACTGCTCTCACCGTCGCGTTGTAGGTCCGACCTTTTACAGCCAGACTAACATCACGAAGGCGCCAAAGGTGGCCCAGATTGGCATAAGCCGCTCTGGCTTTCACCAAACGTGCATTGATCTCATCACTCACACCACCACCAGCACTTATGCAGCTACCTAGATACACGAACTTCTCGACTACTTCTATCTGCTCACCATCCAGGGTGAGTACAGGATTAGAATGCTGCCAGTCTTGTAGAAGAACTTTGCACTTCGAAGGTGCAAAGCACATACCATACCTACGGACATTGATTGCCAACTGATTAAATGAGGATTGGATGACTTGGGCATTCTCGCACAGTAAGACAATATCATCAGCATACTGAAGGTTTATTCCTTTTCTTGATTGTGTTGCTTGTATTGACTGGAATTGTGAGTTTCTTGATTGAGAATTGAGGCACTTTTCAAGAACTGGAATTACTGTGTTATAAAGCAAACATATTATGTTTTGAACGAATCTGTGCGTGATCTATCCACACAGGATAGAATAACATCTGTTGTGATTGTTAATTTTCTCGTATCCTTTATCAACTTCCTTATCTATTGTAATTTAGATTTGATTAATTGAACAATTATTGGTTGAGTAGCTGGGTGGTCATATTTGTTTGGGTAACAGTGTACATTTAAATTTATGATGAATTTTAGAACCGTCATCTTACCCAATCACCTTATTTTGTTTTCTATCGGGGCGAGGGCGCGTACCTAACCCACCTAGGCATCTTTTCTTCAGTCCAAACGTTAGTTTGTATATTACAGTTGGTACACTCTCTAGTTCCCAAACTTTTGTAAATAACGTTGTCAGTTCCTTAGCCAGGAAGTCACCACCATCTTCAAAAAGAGTCGCAGGTACGTCATCTGGGCCCGATTATTTGTAGCGCTTCAACAGTGGAGTTCCTTGCGGAGTCACCACCATCTTTAAAAAGAGCCGGAGGTAAGTCGTCTGGACCCGGTGATTTGTAACGTTTCAAGAGTTGGAGTTCCTTGCGGACTTCCGCCTCATTTGGTGAATCAGTCGTCACCGACCATGGAGGGCCGGACAGTCTGACCGATGTTGCCGGAGCAGACGGCCAGTTGAACTGCCCTTCAAAGAATTCTGCCCATCGTCCAAGACGTCGATGGATGTTAGTGATTGGCATCCCGTCGTCCTTACAGATTGTTTCCCTCACACCAGACTTCTTGCTGCCAGTGGCTCGGATGAGTTGAAAGAGCTTCCGGTAGTTACCAAATGTAGCTGCTGCTTCCAGCTCATTAGCACGCTCCGACCACCAGGCTTCTCGGTCCTTACGCAAGCTTTGCCCGATTTCATTACGTAGCATCCTTCGTTTGTAGTCAAACTCACGGTCACGCGGAGTAGATCGACGCGCTTCGATGATTTGTAAGGAGCCTGAAGAAACCCAGTGCTTATAAGCGGGACGTTTCGCGAACCCACAACAGACTTGACCCGCCATTTTCATGGCGGGTGGAATGGTAGCTAGCCTAGAAGCTAGCTCGGTTCGATACTTACTAGCAACAGACGTTGCAACCGATTCGCTGACATCTATCCTTTGGTGATGATCACTTCGTTGTCCACTGAAAAGTAAGGTAAGATTGGCGCAGACCAGGGCATGATCAGAGTCCAGATAGGTACTCCAAAAGGAGCGGCAGTCTTGTACACAACCACGATAGCGGTAGCTGATCGCCATGTGATCAATCTGAGTCCAGGCTTGAGATGCAGAGGGAGGACGCCAGGTGGCACATCAGCGATGACTGTACCGAAAGTCATTGCTAGCCAGAAACAGGTTGTGGTCTGTGCACAGTTGTAGCAGACGGTCCCCGTTGTCTGTTCTGCCACCAACAAGTCCCCATCAGCCACCTAAACGACTCTCTTCTGTGCCTAGCCGCACGACCTGAGCATTCAAGTCTCCAGCTAGTACCACGATATCTGTCGAACGCACTTTCTGTAGATGTGTAGAATTATGGTCTACTATGATATTAGCACTGCTTTAATAATAGACCTAATCCCAAAGTTGTAGATTTGTTATGATTTAACTGCCTAATCTATGAGATCTCACGTGCAAATCACATCATCTTCTACACCAACTCACTGCATCTTAACAATTACCAACACATGAAGGAGAAGAATTTCAGGCTAGAGATGCAACAATATATTTCATATGAATAAAAGATATAACGTGACATTTAGAAGGGACCACGACTGCATGACGGAGTCATGCCATACGATCAACTCCAATCTATTCAAATCATTGTTCTCGCCTTCTCCATTGTTAGGTATTTCTCAGCGTTAAAATGTTGAATGTCTATTTTTCGTATTGTCTCCTGTTAGGGCCAAATGCCACTACAGATGAACTGTCAGCTGGTGGCAAAACTCATACTTGATGGCATCCGGAATGCAATCTGTCGAAGCGTAGGCGGAGATGACGAAATGACATCGTTTCTCACGCCGATTTCTTCTCACTTTGATGGAACTTTCTAGGCTTACAGCACATTTGAAAATAAAACTCAACGATAACTTTGCAAGTATGCTTGAACGAGTGCCCTAAGCTGGTGTCTGTGCAGTAAAACTAGTGAGGTCAGCATCAGTTTCAACGAATAACAAAAATGTTAACATTGTAGATTTATTTGACGCTATATGTGTCAGATTTATGTTTACCTATAATGTGTGACCTGCTTCTAATGAAAATAAACTTAGTCGTGAATTCATTATCGCAAACAAGGCCCTTGAGTTGTTTCTAAAAATTGTCAGCCAAACTGTCTCAACTTTGAAAAAGACTAAGCTTAAGACAAAGTTGTTCTAAACAAATGTAAAAATTTAGATGATATAGGCAGGTATGGTATGCTTTGAGACTCCTTCAAGAGCACAGATAGCCCAGTTTTGCAGGTATGTTAAGTACACTGAATAACAGACTGATGTGGTGGTTCCCAGCAAAAAAGCTTATACAAGATATATTAATACACCAGGTTACTAATAGTAATATGCCAAAAGAGTTAACAGTGGAAACCCTAGGTGTCTGTGTACGGGTAAAAAAAAACCAAGGGTAACAAATTTACAATTACAAATACAAGTGGTGTATTGAGCAATATGGTAATAACAATTATTACAGAATGAATGTTACTTGAAAGCTGCTCCCTGGGATGACAACCACAAATAAGTCCACTCGATTTAACGTAGGTTCTTCTGCGACTGATGGCACCAACGTCGTGACTAGGAAGACAGAGGCCGATAGTATTATGTAATAGTGATCCGGGCCAAAATGCCAACGTAGTGCAAGGAGGCCTATAAGGATATTATAATACTATTATAGTCTTCGATCAATGGCCGTGGCCAATAAAGCAGAAGGGCAGACGACGTGGATAATGTATTATATTTTAATCCGCGCGGTAGTAAAATGTGTGTTCAAATCTTATCAAAACAATTATCATCTTTTTTAACATAAGTGATACAGAAAAACAACAGATATTGAATAAAAATGTGGTTACAAAAAATCACGGAATATACGTCACCAAATAACTCCCCCCCCCCTAGGGCATACGTCGGTGGAAGTATGCCCGACGTAAAACTCTAAATGTTTTGGAGGGGAAAGAAAATTACACAACAAGAAGAATAAACAAATGTTATCAGAAAAAAAATCGTATGCGTATACCTGTTTACGAACAAAATTGTTTTTCTTGTGGTAAAGAGAAAAAAAAATCGTTTCTCATTTTAATGTATATAAAAGGTTTGACAATAATAATGGAAAGTAGAATAATAATAATTATAATAATAACAACAATAATAATAATGTTAATAATAATAACGGTAATTAAATTGTTAGTTGCCAAAAATAAATAAATAAATAGATACTTAGAACAACACATATAAGCGAACAATTGTTTTCAATTAGATCATCATCAGGCTTTACTCTAATATACAGTAATATTTATACGAAAATGTTAAACCATTCAAGGCAATTTTGTTCTAATTTTCACAATGGGAATTTTCAATTTACTAAAATAGATACTTGTATATACTGTGTGTGCATTTAATGATAAACTGAACGAGTCTAACGACGTTGAATAACGTTGCAGAAATAATAATAATAAACATCATATGAAACGTATGTACATGTAGAGAAAAATTTAATGAGTTTATCAATTTTTGTAGTAAATACGAAATGTTTTTTTTAAAAAATAAAATTGC